AGACTGTGCACAATTCACGAATAATTGACTAGTGAATCGGTCTGGGGCTGAGGGCGGACTTTATCTACGGGTCAGTCTGCGCATGCGGTAATATACCGAAGTCATGGAGACGGCCAATTACTAATGACATAGAATTCTGAGCACTCTGAATGGCTGGATTCGAGGGTATCAGATAATTTGTTGAAATTTAAAACTTTGTTTTTTTTATTTAAAATATCGAGTCAATTATTGTAACATTATAAGAATCTATCCTTGAAAATATGCTCTATCAAATACATTAATAGATAGTACGAAAATGTAGAAAAAAATATTCCTATAACACCAAGACGTTTATGTGACCCATTTTCGAAAATGTGTTTAACTTTAACATGTAAGGTTATAATGTTCACAGTGTCAAACAAAAAACATAATAACAGTTTTCTTTGTTTTTGTATTATTTTATGTAATATATGTTTATTGAAATTCAGACGTAATTCCATGCGTCCAGCATTGAACGCAAAAATATGTGTCAAAAGTTCCAACAATGTACTGTACTTACGTTGTTAAAAGTACATATTGACGCATGCATTAACTACCTGTATAAATGTCATTGTGTATTACTTGTATAGATATTATTTGATATATGTTGATATTTGCGCAACGCATTTCCTAATGAAGCGGCGTTACAGTTAATGTAGCAGATTACCATAACTTTTGTTTCACAAAATAAGTACTAATTTATAGTTTAACCGTTTCAGCATCAGTTCCCACTTTTCTTCACAAATGCACAAAATAGTCCTGTTTATAGTCTGCCAAAAATGGTGACAAAAACCTGTAGGGAATACGACATTACGTCTATTTGGTTCAGAATTATAAGATGAATTATAGAAAACAGTCAAAACTGCGGTGAGAAACAATATGGCGCTTAAACAACAAATGAGTGCGAATAAATACAGTGGCAAAGTATCCTATCATCATGAATTATCAACAAATATAAGCTTAATTGTCTTACCTGCTTAAATGATTTGACATGAATAATGTCATCATAATTACTGCTACATAGAGGGCGTACTTATTATCTTTAAATACAGTGCAAGTATCTGAACAGGAACAACAACATCTAGGCGTCATTGTCAGTCAATCTTGTATTATCATCAGTAAGTGTTGTTAGACTTTGCAACATCCAAGAATCTAACAATAGATATAAATAAATAAACAAAGAAATAAATAAAAATACAATAAATCTATAACCTATAAATCATGTGACATTATCGGTCACGTGATTGTGAGCACAGGCCAAATGATGTGAACAAAACAAATAGTGATCTACCATAACTATTAACTGGAGCAGTAATACATCCTTACGTTCCATCCGATTGGATTCTATACCCCGAAAATACCGCATTGAATGGTTTGCGAGCGTGACGAGCGTCTCGAGTGTTTGCACTGCAGACGATCACGGCTCTCCAAGCCACATTATCCCAGTGGGCGTTCCATATATGCTCCACTGCTCCATTGTCATTACTGTACTACATAGCGCAATGTGCATACTCACCTCTAATAATTACATACGTTATTAGATGTGCCACGCAAAACATTGAAGTTATATTCGTGAATACTCCTGTTTGACTGAGCAGTACATCGACGAATTAAAGCCAGTGCCTCCGAAGACACTTTGTCTGGACTTTGCACTGGGTGACTTACCAGGCTGACCTCGATAAGGATCTAATGTGACTTCATGTAAAAACTAAATATATAATCTGACTCTTTTATTTCTAGCATCATTGCTACTGAAACAATAGTTCAGATTAACCTTAAAAAGATTTGTATTCAAACAACCGCTAAGTTGATTAGCGACCCGCTCCAACTTTTTTCGGGTGATGCCCCCCTTACAATCACAGCAAAGAGCAAAACGCCACTTCTGAGGAAAAGTTATCCCAACAAATTTCTCGGCAATGAAAAAAAAAGGTATCGACAAAAAATAGTAACTTTGTTCCTATTACGCTGAGTAGAATGTGACATGGTATTTACTCCAAGATTTGTAAGAGGTGATACATTTGGCGCGAAATTTGAGTTTTATTTTTTTTTTGGCATAACCAAATATAAACACATAATTTCGTGATTGCTGTACCATATAAACATTTTATAAATAATTTTACTAATTAATATTTTGTGTTTCCGAGTTTAGCAGTGGTTTCCGTTCATCATCGATGGCTATTTATATCTTGGTAAAAACATTTAAAAAATAATCTCAACCAATCTATTGTTTTTGTTTTTCCGTGCTGATGCTTTAAATAGTCACTACACCAGTGTCCCCTTTATTTGTTGTATTTTACGTCATTTTCTTTCTACAGATACACAATCCTGCGTCTCTCACCTCGTACGTGCTTCCAGTTTTGATTCCAAACACCGAGAAGAGTAGATTTGATAAATGTTTGTTCCTATAAAAAACACTAGTTAAATGATTGAATACGTATGAATACTATTATACAGGTTTTATGAGATTATGTCATACAAGTAAGTAAGGTATAACCAAAAAATAAATACATAATTTACTGTGATCATATAACATTTTTATGTTTAAATTTTGCTAGTTAACACCTTGTGCTTCCGCAGTGGTTTCCGTTTACAGTCTGCGGCTATTTCAGTTAGATGTTTCATTCTAATTTTTGCCAGGGGAATGGTCATTAAACAGAAGATCAACGCCAATGTGTATACTCACAGAGAGTTGGACAAACTTATGTATTTTAATAAATTATTAAATAAGAAAATGTTATATAACTTTTCTTTTACCCCCCCCCCTTCCTGGCATCGATTTAAAGTAATCACTGATCTTTGATTATACCACTCTTTCCTTTATCACAACTTTGTTACGCGCTAATGTTATATGCACATTTTAAAACGCGATGTAGATACATCCTATATTTTACTATAATAGGGTGTGTCTACATGGACATTAGTGCACTTTGCTTGCATACTTAATGAGATACGGCTACTGATTGGTTTTCTCTTGTGGGCGCGATAACTCAAGTGGTTTTTACTCGATCAATTTCAAAATTATATGAATGCTTAATTTGCAGCATTATGCATGATTTCTTGACACGATTAATTTGCATTTCTCGTTCCTCCATGAATTTGCATATTTTCGCGATACTTCAGCTTCCCCGCTATATTTGAGTGAGCTCGTCGAACTTCACAAGTTGCTTTTTCCAACTTTACGATATTTTATCGATATTCTACTTTACTGTGATGGCTTAGGGACGGATCAGTTATTATAGCCGGGGGTGGTTCTTCAAATTCCGTGGGGGCTCCTTATTTATAAAATATTCTAAATTATAAGTTACAACATGCCATACTTTCTTCACAGAACTTTGCAAGTATAAACTGTTACTTTCTTTCCAGGCTGGTGTTATCTGCATTGTATTTCTATAACATTTCGAAATTATTACACTAGCAAATATCGGCATTTTAATTATAATTTATTGCGGTACACCACAGAAACAATTTATGGCATATTACAGCAAATGATACAAAAAACTTGTGAAATGGAATATTAACAATATTGCAACAATTAATGAAAACACATTAAATGTGAAAAGATCACAACACGCTGTGTTGCTGTAAGTCTGGAATGTGATTTGTAAATATAAACTGTAAATAGAAATAAAGTAGTTATAAATTGCAATAATGTAAATGTAAATGTTGACAAATATAGTACATGACAACACCCTGTAATGTATGAACGGTTATATGTCAAATAACATATATTGACTACAGAACAATAAATTAAATTATACCACAATAAATTAATATTAGTAAAGAAAATAAATAGGTTGACAGATTCTAAGCTAGTAATTGTATGCAGTTTGCGATCACTGTCACATGACTAAAAGTATGAAGATTTACAGGAAACACAATAAAGTGTGATAGTAATTAGTAATATAGAGTATATATAAAAGAATATAAAATATAACAATCTTTGGTTTATCTAATTCTTTTGTTATATTCCTATATTTGCCAGCTACTTCTCCTTTTTCCCTCTTCGTTCTTTAATCTGTATCCTTTTCCGATTCTAAAACATCCTTTTCTTCCTTCTCAATTTGTTCACCTCCTTCTACTTCTCCATCCTCCTCCCCTCTTCTGCTTCTTCTACCTCCTCCTCCTCTTCTTCCTCTAACTCCTGCTCCTCCTCCTGTATACAGTATTGAAGTTTGAGTTCGTCACAAATGTTTACAAATTTCGTTCTGGCCAGTGAAGAGGAGGATCACAGTGAAGTGCGGTATACAGTGACAACAAGATCTGGGATACAAGCAGGCACTTGGAAACATGCACTGTATCACTGATTTGTAGAAACATTTATTTTTCACTCAATGACTATATTATGCAGACAATCTACACCAACTAACTATAACTAAACTAAATAGTTAAGTGTTTTAAAAAGAACTGAAAATGGGGAGGGGTCACATCACTTTTAGTCTTTATGCAGGGGGGGTCACCATATTTTTTATTGTGGATACAGGGGGGTTATTGATTTTGTTTCCACATTTACAAATAATTGCCGGTCCAGCCCAGGCCATAAAAACTGATCGGTCCCTTAATTATCGTGTTATTAAACCTTCAAGTCTGAGGTGCCAAGTTCGGGGAATTCTCCACCCTTCTATTGAACAAAGACATACAGAGAATCGAATTGTGTCACATTTGGTCTCAGCCACGTTGTAACTCTCTCAAGACCGCGTCAACACTGCGTGCCTCGTGGTGAGCTGCCAAGACTCTGAGACCAGCTTTATTCACTTCTCAACTGTCAGTCAATTACAGAGAAGTTTAAAAGCTTAAGGCGTATCCTCCATACACTCAATTCGCATATAGCCAATCACACAAAGTATTTAACACGCCATAATGTCTGATTAATTGCCCCCGATGTCGAGACATAACTCTCATATTTATAGGCGCCACATCCATAGTTGACAATTATATCAGCCAGTTGTTCCATTTACTAATTCCCTAACATACGAATGAACCTGATCATGACAAGTTACGAGCAGGTGTGGATTATCCAGGGGTCATCAGTGAAAGTCGCTATAACTGCAAAAAGCGGACTCATCTAAACACATGGAAATATAAATCATGTCGACATTACTATGAATACTCCACGAAAAAGCAGAAAACGTCGACCAGTCATTGTTACACAAACGACCATCCCAACAACAAGGAGTAAAAGCGAACGCCTTTCTACCGCTACCAGGTCACAACTACAAGATTCAATTAGCAATACTAATATAGGAGTTTCTACTTCGGGTTGGCGATCTACTTTACGGCAGAGAACAACAAGTAGTTTAGACCCGTCTAACCCTACAAAGTGGATAGCGGCAGAAGTACGTTAGAAATTAAAATCTATGTGCATCGGTCTACCCCGGCAATTACAAGGCGGCGAGAAGCGATAAATATTTATAAATTCAACATTTCGTAAATTCCGAAATCGTGGATTTTGAAGATGAAAACCGGAACCTAACTACTAGTCAGCGACATGACAACGATTTTTCCGACACAGACACGGTCAGCGCACATATGAATAGTGATATCCGTCTACAGACTGTCTACACTTTATTTCATTCGGCGAGTGGTAGGCAGAATCAAAACAACATGGCGACCATGCTGGAAGCTTTTATATAGCTCTTCAAAATCGTCCATATTTTACGACAACCACTAAGCGAAACAACCATCCATTAACTGCAGGAAGATTTGACATTTTGTCTAACGCCTTGCCGGAACTTGTAGATGTATCTGTGACCATGAATGCAAACATCTTGCCAGGTAAATACGTTAATCTTGCAGCGTTATTGATTCTCGATCAGGATTCAGATGGTCGTTATATCATGGATTATCGGGCAATGAAATTAACGCCGATCACCGATTGAATAAAACCTTGACATTTCATTAATTCTTGGTAGCTTTCGAGAAATACAAGGCAGTTATTTGCGGCGCCTTTCCGGAACGACCCGAGGAGCTAGATTTGTACCAGAAAAACATGGCACTAAATTTTGGTAATGTTTTTTTACGACTATCATGTTCAGTTTGCTAGAGCTGCAGCTTACTTGCAATAGGAAGGCATTAAAACCTATTAGTCAGTTCGCTTTTTATGCGAATCACAGCTAGCCGAAATCGTATTGTTATTTGTGGCAGCACAACGCACATGGCTCATTTCTTCCCAGGCAAACAGTGCAGTCAGTCGATAACAATTCACAATACCAGCCACGCAATGATGCAAGGGGACGACCCAGGAATTACCTAAATGGAAAGACAATTAACAATAACTTCAATTTTGAGAAGGGTTGCTCAAGAAATGTATGCCCGTTTGTACATGCCTGTTTTTACTGCAAAAACAACCACCAAGTTTGCATGTGCTCTAAAGCTGCTCCTACTACAAATACTGCCAATTCAGAATGACTGCCAGCAACTCCGACGACACCCATTAATGTACACAAATTGGAAGCGTTTTTAACAGATCACCCAAACCGGCATTTTGTTACAAATTTGTGCACTTAGAGAAGGTTTTCTGACAGGCATAGACAATGCACCAAATTATACACATGAATGTAATAAAAATTTAGAAACTGAGACAAAACTGTTGGAGGCTGAACTGGATAAAGGATACGTTATTGGTCCTTTTGACAGCCATTCCATTCCCAATTCATAGAATGAGTCCCCTTGGTTTAGCAGAGGGAAAATATTCTAAAAAGCAAAGACTGATCGTAGACTTATCTGCACCCCATGACATAACTGGAATACTCAGTCTGAATGAATTAATCAACAAAGAAACCTTTTCCATTTCATATATTTGTATAGATGATGCTATTGAGGAAATTAAGCAAAGCAGAGGCAATGCCCAAATGTGTCAATTTGACATTACTGATGCCTTTAAGCTGCAGTTACCATTACATCTATCAATCTGGCATTTACATGGTGTGAAATGGAATCAGAAAAGTTTTTCTTTGTTAGACTTGTTTTTAGATCACGTTCAAGTCCAAAAATATTTGATAATATTTCCCAAGCTATATGCTAGATCGCACAAAACAAGTTTAATGTGCAGTTTATTCTGCATCTTTTGGACGACTTCCTAACTATTGACCATACAGATGAGAACGCCACACGTACAATGGCTATTATGACTCTGATCTTCAAATCACTGAACATTCCTTTGGCAGCACATAAAACGCTGGGACCCTCACAAGAATTGGAATATTTGGGAATTAACCTAAATTCCAGAAAATAAGAAACACCGAATCACTTCCAGGTAAACAATCACAAAGCTAAAATAGTCTTACGATAATTTGGCGATCATTAATATCCCACCTCCTAAATCTACCAGCATCAGTATCTAAGCTACACCACCACATCTCCGGCTTGAATTAGCAATGTGAAAACATTTTACAAGGTTGTAATGGGATGTACATGTTCTTCAACAGTGAAATTACCAGGGCATCAGACTTTACAAATTTCACCGATGCTTCCTCCACCAAAGGCTTTGGTGGCTATTTTCAGGTATACTGTAATAGTGATGCTTGCACAATTGTTCATTTTCTCAGTCATGTTTGCCTGAAATTTCGAAAGATCTGCTTATGTTATTTGTCACCGTTTGCTTTAGGCACATGTTAAGTGACTCTACTATCAGACTTTATTTAGCTGGTGTCAGATTTGCCGACTTCGAAGCAGGCTTTAGGCTCCTGTGCGTTTAAATTTGCTTCGACATTCTATCAAAGGGAATTCAGGACAACATATTAAACTAGGCCTCCAATTTACAACGGAATTTGTTGCCAAAATGTTTTCAACACTAAATGGAACAGTTTTCTTATCTTACACGGACCCCTGACAGTAATTTTAGTGGCATTTTCTTTTATGTTGCGGGGAATTTACTATTTCTGAGGAAAGGTTCGATAGCAACGTCCATCTTTGCATTGAGGATGTTAGTTTTTGGGATGATGATCGTGCTTTTATTGTGCTTAAGTCCTCAAAGACGGACCAGTGTCGGTGAGGTTCGGTTATTAATTTTTTTCTAACAATCGTATGTGCCCAGTGGCTGTCATTCGCAAATATTTGGCCATTAGCTTAAAAATGAATCCTGCCTTCAAACAAGAGCACCCATTATTTTTCTGAAAACAACCTGCATTTGACTCGATCTGTGTTACTTGCATTAGCTTTTGAACCGACTGGATTTGAACTAAATTTTCTGGACATTCTTTTCGGAATTCAGGACTACTTAATAAAGGCACTCGGCTGGTGGGCATTAGATAGTTATGTGCGATATATTCATACTTCAGATGTTGCTTTGGGCTCTGCACTTACTGCCTTAGCTGACAGCTAATAGAGTAAATAAATAGGGTTTGCGGAAAGTTGATATAGGGGTGCACCCAATTTGCAGTGCAATATACCAAGAATTTGTGCTAGTAATTGTACTTGCCACACTGTCATTATTCCGACAGTTTTCTCTGCCTCTAATCCATCTGGTAGGTTCAGTTTGCCACTGTCCTACTTCTACTACCTCATATAATGACCATCAACTAGATGCAGTTCTCACTGCAGTGACCTTTGCAATAGTTTTAACTGTTTTAGGACTTGTAGTTTTTTAATCTTGTATTTTCTGTTAAAATTAAAATTTAATTAAAAATAATAATAATTTTAATGATTTGAAATTCAATCCCCCTAATCTGTATCAGGATTTAACCAGAAAATTCATGGTGTAATACTTATTTTGAAATCATTTGGAATTTTTTATAGCTGCAGTGTTTAAAACATTTAAACTTGTCTTGTATATGTATTGGTACTGTCATCTGTACATGCAAATTATTGTAGATTACTTAGTTATTTTCTTAGCAGCATTTTCCAATTAGCATATACTATTGGGTCAACGTTGTACAACTATATGTGTCATTTCAGTTCAATTGTGTGACTGAGCGTTTTTTCATCTTATTATAATCAGTACCATCTGGAATTCATTATTATAAAATGCCTTTTTTATTAAAACTTTAGTTCACAATTGCCTTTCGGGATAAGTCGTTGTATGGTAATTAGTTGTCAACACTTGCTTGACAGTTTTACTGCGAGCTTAGTACAATTATCAGTACAAACACATTCTTTTAGTTTACTTAGTTTGTTAAATATTATAGTATGTACTGTAAGCAGCTGTACTAGTCCTCATTGTTCAGTAAAAATTACAAAGTAAGTTCAATATGTTTTGTAAAGTTGCTACTGTACAGTAGGTTATATCCTATTAAGTCACATAAAATAATTATACTATCAATTGGCATATATAGTAGTTGTTATTGTTCACTGAGCAGTATTTGTAATTTCCAGGGCAACATTTAATGTACTTTTCCCGTAAATAATACATATAAAGGACAAGTGTAAATGTTAAGTAAAGGATAACAAAGGCAAATTGAGCTTGGAATTGGAAAAAGTGAAAAATGCAATGAGATTGAACATCAAAATAGACAACAGCTTGAGAAAGAACGTAATGCGGATCGATTAAGTAGAAAAAGTGTAGAACATTTAGTCAATTCTTATTTGAACCATTTGTATCAACTATTTCCTTGTGTTCAAGGTTTCAATAGTTTTGCTATGTTTTACGTTTTGTGCGTGTGCGCAATGCAGTGTCTTGGTTGACAAGGTCGTCTACAACACCTGAAGAGAAAATAACGGCGTTCTTCGCTGCTGTTATGTTTATACATAATCTTTTCCCGTAAATAATACTCAATGTGGGTAACGTTTTGTGAGCGAGGACTGATCAGTGAGCGACATCAGACAGACGCATGCTTGTTGGCATAAATGTAAACTTATGACGTCACAGTGAGTGTTCAACGCTCACGAATCTAAGAGACACTCAAAATATTGAGATATTGAATTGCTCAATGTGAAAGCTCACCCTCATTACCTCAAAGCTACAATGTAACGATTGCGGTTAAAGATCATGAATGTGTAAATCGTGTCGAATATATTAATGTGACTCTGTCAGCATCCTCTATTTTATGTTTTTGTCATATTACCTCAAACACTGCAAAAGTGTGCATGGAATCATGGGAAGAAACGGTGTGCATTGTAATAACTGTCATAAAGGTGATTGACATGTCATACTTGTTTTCAACTTTGGAAGGACAATTGGAATCTACCAGGTGTGCTTGTAATTTACATAACAAAGGGTGTTTACAACTTTGGAAGGACAATTTGAATCTACCAGGTGTTCTGTTATTTGAATAACAAAGGATGTTTATGATCTACTGAGTTGCTTACGTGACCCTGCTGCTAGCAAGATCACATTCTGATTGGCTTATGTGGAAACCCCGGTGGTGACACTGAAT